CACCAGTTGACAGGGTCACAGGATGGTGAGACGAGGACTTTTTCGTACAATCCGAAAGTCTTCCCTCCAACCTAACCAAAGCAAGCAGTACCACAACATTTAAGGGTTAGCACACAAGAAACTATGGCATGGGAATTTATAGACTTGACATTAGACGCAGTGGCGATGGTAGCTAATGGGCTGACAGTAGTTGGTTTAAGGCTTAAGCCTCGAATTAGTCACTCAGACGCAGTGGAGTCCCAATAACGCCTCAATTTGGCACAGATGGGGTAGCAGGGGTCGAGTGAAATATGTGAACCGGGGAGAGGTCAGACGGGTGTTGTGGGGCCAGAGAGAGACTGTGGTAAGACCTAGGGAATGAGGACGGCGTGACAATATGGCAGAGTGTGGTCGACATTGCAAGTACAAGAATGAAGGGGGGTGAGGAGGCCAGTGTGGAGTGCGGAGGGTTCTCATGAAAGCCGCTCAAAAGGGCACACCGTACCACATTTAAGTAAGCAAGTAAAACATTGCAACATTGAAGGTGTGGCAGGAGGATATAGGAAATGTGAATAGGCCAGGGCAGAAGGGGAGATAGCACAATTGTTCAGCTTTACTTGTCTCTTTGACGAGTTGTAATATGTTGCTAAGACTGGCAAAACTGAGCACGAAACGTCTGAGAATGTACCACGTCCACGGTCCTATTCTGGAAATGATGATGCACACAATGGACACCGGACAAGGTGCGCTCCTCTAAGTCTTCCTACCAATATGACCAAGTTGCGAAAACAGGGTCAAACAACTTCTAAACCGCTAATGTTCACGCATATTTAGCTATGTGGTAGCGTCTATTGGTTGCATGAACTGCCACCTTAACACCCGTCCACAGGGTCACATGATGGTGCGACGAGGACGTTTTAGTACAATCCGAAAGTCTTCCCTCCACGGAAATTAATACTTCTTTAATATTGGGTGAGACAATTCCACGAATGTCATTCAACCAACTTTAGCATGTAAATGGAAAGTCAAATAACACCAATTCACACAGCGAGTCTACGAAATACAGCTTCTCTTCGTTCATTTGTTTGAATGAGCAGAAGCCGCTTGCTTGTGTGGCTGATGCGATGCGGAACGAGTAGTCATTGTCTCTATCTGGTCAGTTTGGATCTGATACTCCTATTGGTTTAAACTACAACTCAAAAGTCTAGCCAATCCGCCAGCCAGGTGTTACTATCTTAGCCAATCAGCGATACAATCATGCCAGCCCCTGGTTTAGCTTGCTATTTAAACTAACATTGAGTCGCCAAAATCGTCATCGCCTTCCTCATTTTCTGCTTGCCCTCTCCTCCCCTTCTCTTGCGTTTTTGCCCTGACATGCAGGTCTTTTACCTCGCCCTCATATTCTCCGTTAAATCTTTTCTCCTTCTCCAGCCTTTCAGTAGCCCTACGTTTGCGGATCAGGGTGTAACTGATGTAATAGATCGTTCAAATCAATCTGATACAAGCAACAACTATAACCCTACCACCGTAGCCCCTACCACCGTAGCCCCTACCACCGTAGCCCCTACCACGAGAGTCCCTATCACCGAAGCCTCTACCACTAGAGCCCCTACCACCGTAGCCCCTACCACGGGAGTCCCTATCACCGAAGCCTCTACCACCGTAGCCCCTACCACGGGAGTCCCTATCACCGAAGCCTCTACCACTAGAGCCCCTACCACCGTAGCCCCTACCACGGGAGTCCCTATCACCGAAGCCTCTACCACTAGAGCCCCTACCACCGTAGCCCCTACCACCGGAGCCCCTACCACCGAAGTCTCTACCACTAGAGCCCCTACCACCGGAGCCTCTAATATAGAAAATTCTACCATCGAAGCCACTACAACTATGGTCCCTACCAACGCATCGTCCAGCATTACAGCCTCGCAGTTACCTATTACTAGTAAGTGGTTTTGTCCTCAACGTACTATCTCAATTCATCTATTTGTTCAAAACACGAATGGTAGGGACCCTGGCTATCTGTGCTTGACTTATCCCAACTTCTCACCTAGCATTGACGGCAAACCGTTTGTGCTGTAGTTAATCATATCTCGTCGCAGGCCTGCGTATTTCCTCCCCTTAATGGCGTTGGCAGCGTTCCGCTGGCCATGCCTCCAATCTATTAAACCTTAGCCCATTTAATTTTCCTGATTCAATTGACACACTTTCCTGACAGTATTCATGCATAGTGTCTATCCCAATTTTGTATCTTTAAGGTAC